AAATAAACATATGAAAAAATGTTCAGCATCACTGGTCATGCAAGATATGCAAATGAAAACAATGCTGAGATGCTACCTCACCCCAGAAAGAATGGCTGCTATCATGAAATCAACCAATGACAAATGCTGGCGGGGCTGTGGAGAAAGAAGAACCCTGCTCCGCTGCTGGTGGGAGTGCAGACTGGTGCAACCACTGTGGAATCACAATGGAGATACCTCAGAAAACTAGGATTGGAGGTCCCATTTGGCCCTGCATCCCCCTGCAGGGTGTCTTTCCCAAAGAATTAAAAGAATCATACCACAATGATATATATGCACCCATGTTCATAGTAGCACAATCTGTGATAGCTAAAATTTGGAAGCAGCCCAATTGCCCATCAATGGGAGATTAGATAAAGAAAATGTGTTTTCTTTTTTTTAATAAAGTGGAGTACTACTCAGCCATAAAGAATGAGAGATTAGAGACAATGATAGCTAAATGGATACACATTGAAGCCATCTCTTAAGTTAAATAAATAGGACACCTGTGTAAAAACCAAATAATTTCTCCAGTGTGAGAAACTGAAAGTGTAAATAAGGTGTAACAGATGAAAAGGTATAAGAGATAATTTGAAATGGAAGAAAAGGTGCAAAGTGGAAGGGGAAATGGGAGGGGTAGGAGAAAAGAAAAGTGGGAATGGAATTAACAGGAGAAAAAGAAAAAATTGAAACAAAGTCTTCATAGATAGGGAGGGGTGGAGGGGTTGAAGGGAGGGCAGGGGAATGGGGAAAAAATAAGAACCAAGACGGATTATGTAAAGGTGCAAATTTCCAGTGATGAATGTTAGTTACTACACTGTATACCTTAAGTGTACCAACAAAATTAATTAATTTTTAAAAATAAATTAAAAACTTAAAGAAGCAAAATGTGATGTTTTCACAATATAATGAAGCTGTTTTCCTTTCCAAGCACTTTTGTATTTTTCATTTTATCTTCATAGTGATATGAACAAGAAGAATATTTTTTTTCAGCTTTAATTGAGTTTATTGGTACATTTTAGGGATACGGTACAGTTACATTCATTGTTGGGATCTTGTACCTCTACATGACAAGTCTTGATTCTCATTTTTTCAAAAAAAGCAAAATAGATCCAAAGGATTAAAGTGAGTTACTAGCAATTTCAGATAGGTTTTAATTGACCTATCATGGTCTTAACTAAAAAGAAGTTTTAAATATGCATTTTAAAATCCTTATTTTAGTATTTAAGCAAAATTCACAGGATAAATACTCATTTTGAATATTTATATGATAATGATTTCATAATTTGTAGCTAAATTTTAGCCTAGTGTCATGATATGTATTTACCATCAACATGGCATTTCTGAGGAGGAATATTGAGGAAATCTTGTGTATGAGAAACAGCAGCATTCTTGTTACCAAATGCAATGTTACTGGATGTCACAAATGCAAACCTAAGACAGATATATCATCTGAGACATTTGTGAGGGAGTGATGGCTAAATTCAGGAAAAGTATTTTTAAACCTTCAAAGGATCCCTTAACATTAGCCCAACAATCCAGCATATTTAAATTTATTACCTAGAAACATAAATTAATCAGTGAAGCAGTTTGAAAATTGATGACTGAATATTAATCATGTTTAAAATTTAAATCAAAGCTTAGAATGGTGTTCAAAATCTTGTGAATGATATTAAAAGAGGCCAAAATGATCCCATCTCAGATGATGTGCTAAAGTCATAGTTCCAAGGAGATCAAATGGGAAGGTCCGGGTGAGAGGTGAGCTCCAGCCACGGCAGGAGGAGTGAGTTCTGAGCTGGGAGCGGAGTTGAATAGAAGCACAACCTGACAGGATGGGCAGGACTGAGAGAGGGAGGAGCCACAGGCAGGAAGCAAACGCAGTCTACTTCTGCTGTCAAGGTTCAGATACTGCTGCTAACAGAAGCAAAGAAAGGGTGATTGTGCCGGGGACCCTTTAGGTGAGGAGAGTTTGGGTCGTGTGAAATGTGGAAGGTGTAGGAAGGGAAGGGTTTTGCTAATGGTGTAGGGGTTTTTGAGGTGCTTTTTTAAGCAGTTAAAGGAACAAAATGACAGAAGCACCCCACTTTTTTATCAACCATGACGTAGATTCTAACCTCCAGCAAAGTCTTCAGAGGCCACCTACTTGTCCTTCTGAGAAAATTCTGTTGCATCTGGGTTCTTGAGAACAGACTTTGCTGTGGTGGAAGTTACTGAGAGACATATTGTACACCTGCATAAGGACAAAGCTAGGGTCCAGAACTTTCAGAAGTTGATATGGGTCATCTAAAATAAGAACAAACTCTGACACTGATGGCTTTCCAGACTAATATATTTGGAGGAAAAGAGGCTTTTCCGTTAAACTGTGGCACAATGAGATATGGTAGCCCTTTATTTATCACAGAAAATCAGGCAGCTAAAAAGTCACAAACATGTTTGCTTACATGTAAGTTGGTGAAGCTGAGGAGAGGGGAGGAAAAGAAGGAGAGGAAGGAGGAAGGGATGGGCCAGGGGTTTTGGTTCAGTGGTTCCATGGCCTGCTTTGCAAGGGCCCAAGTTCGAGGCCCGGTTTAAAAAAAAAAAAGAGAAGGAAAGAGAGAGAGAGAGAGAGAGAGAGAGAAAGAGAG